GTTATATAATTGTACAATTTGAAGTCTGCCATCAACAGTTGCAATGACCTGATGAATTTCGGGTTCTTGTTATTTTCTTTCTCTGGACAGAACACTTTTGCCGAGTTAGTATGACTAATGTGTCTTGATAATGTAAATTGTGCTCTTTTTTTTTTTTGAGGAGAATATAATTTCACAGTTTCTTTATACTCTTGTGAAATTCCTTCTGCAGATCCCTGACCATCTTCTACCAAGGGTTGCAATTGTTGGAAGGCCAAACGTTGGTAAATCAGCTCTGTTTAACCGTCTTGTTGGGGTACTAAATCATTCATTTTGTATTTTAATTAGTTTAACTATTGCTCTTAATTCACTTACCAATATTCTGGAAAGTAAATTTGAATCTTACAACTGTACTTTTTCCTAAGTTTTTACATTACGATAATTGTTCTCTTCTTTTCATTGAATATATATTCCAGGGTAACAAGGCCATTGTAGTGGATGAACCTGGGGTTACTAGGGATCGCTTGTACGGTAGATCCTTTTGGGGAGAGCATGAATTTATGGTGGTGGATACCGGAGGTGTTCTCACTGTTTCAAAATCACAGGTTAATGTTATGGAAGATTTGGCTATCACAACAACCATCGGTATGGATGGGATTCCGCTTGCCACTAGGGAGGCAGCTGTTGCTAGGATGCCCTCAATGATTGAGAGACAAGCTACAGCAGCTGTGGAAGAGTCATCTGTCATCATATTCCTTGTCGATGGCCAGGTGCAATCTGTTATTTCGTAACTTGTATGTAACAAATAGCTGTTTTGTGATTTTTAGTTTCAACTTTTTCACCTGGTTTCGTTAGGAAGTTTCTCTCTTGATGGCTGAATGTATTTTATTGTTTCATCATCAAGGGGTTTGGGAACCATGCAGTATTTGACATTGAAGTTACTCTTATATTATTAAGGTAGATGGCTTCTTGACATGTTATTATGTTTTGTGTGTACCCTGCAGATTTTAGATTCCATTAAGCTGTAGAAAGTGCATCCACAATGGGAATGATCCACAAGGTCTAGTTGTTAAGTTTAAGCTCAATCTAAAAGCTTAGATTTATAGAATAGATCTGGCGGGATTAGATAATAAATCTAAATGGGATCATATATTGGATGGTTTCTTTCAGTATCTGTTTATGTAATCTTTTACTAGTGTAGTATTAACATCACCCATTGAGTTAGTCTTCATCCTAGAACTGTTGTTTAAATGCCTAGTTATTTACAGGTGAACTTGCCAAGCTCTTGTGCAGATGACTGAGGCAAACAAATTTATTTTCATGATTCTAAGTTATACTATATATGGTCACTGATCACTGTGCAGGCAGGTCTAACGGCAGCTGATGTGGAGATAGCTGACTGGCTACGTAAGCATTACACGGATAAGTTTATCATTCTTGCTGTGAACAAGTGTGAATCTCCACGTAAAGGAATTATGCAAGTGTCAGAATTTTGGTCCTTGGGGTGAGATGCTTTTTCTTTTTTCTTGAAAAATCTAGGCCTTACATTGCATGGTGAATACATGCTCATAACTTATCTGTAGGAATTTTTCAAGATATAATTAGGCCTAGGAAAGAATTCAGGCTCAGGTGATGTAGATTCTTTGGAAGATTTTCTGAAACTTGTGCCAAGTCTATGAACACATAACATCCATTAACGGGCTTTACAATTATGATACTCCATTTAGTGGATGCTTGCACTTGGAAATTTATATGCATTTTGATGCTTGTTTAGAGAAAATGAAATATTAGATTATATGCTAGGAGTACTTTTTCTTTTACATTTTCCTCTCATTTCTTGCCGTAAACTGAATGGGTTCAGTGGATCATATTTTATAAATGCATTAGACCTGGTTTATTTCTTTACATATCTTTTTTTATTAGTCCTAAACTTTTTTGTTGATCAACCAGGTTGTCACCAATTGCCATTTCTGCTGTATCTGGGACTGGAACTGGAGAGCTTCTTGATCTTGTTTGTTCGGGACTGGAAAAAATTGAGGTTTGTGATTCTAGGATTGGGTTTAGCATAAATGTTCTTGCTATGATCATATATCCCTATGTTCGTACAGTTTTAATCAAATTGGCAATCTGCTAAATCATTTCTTGATAATTACTTTTGCAATATTACCCAATAGATAGCCAAATCCATATCTACCTTGCACGCGGTGATGCTGCACATATTCTAATTGTGGACAGCATTTGTGGTAAAAATTTAATCATGATAGATATTGAGTTTATACATTTTATTTTATGAGTCTGATCCTGTTATGAGAGGTATTGCCACTATCAGGATGAGTTGTAGTCCCATAGTTAGGGCCAGGATTAAGGACCATATCAGTCTTGACCATCATCAGTGTCAAACTTCTTTGCAACTAATCTTGAAACCAACCAAAATCAAATTTATCTTTTTATAGAAATTTCTTGAGCAGATTCATATGCCTTTTTGATGTCAGCATTTGTTATTAGGGTTTTTCCTTTTGATAATTCACTTTCCCCTTTCATGGCTAGCAAATTTGCACTTTGTTTAAGTACTGGGTTTTGGTGGGTTCTAGCTAGTTCAGCTAGTGGGATATCTTGAGGTTCTAAAAAAGGTCTTAGGACCCAATCCCTATGCCTAGTGTTCTTTTTCTACCATTTGATCTTGATCAGCAGCTGTAGTTCTGATTCATAATCAACATTATACAACCTTGGGGATAAGATGAGGATTTGTAGTGCATTATTTGTGTGGATATAGTTACAAGAACGCATATGAACATGTCATTTATTGTTTCAAATGTCGTTTCATGTTGCTTTCCATGGCACGAAGATGTCATAATGACTGTTATAACAAAACATTTTTTGAGCTTGTTAGTTATCTATCATTACAATATTATGCATTCTTGCTGCCGTTTAGACATTCAAAATGCACCCTTATAAACTATATAATTTACCTGCAAAAGGCATGTCCACATTTTTCTCTTGTTCTCATAGTGTATGAAGCTAATAACTAGATGGTTTATAGTTTGTTGGTTGCAATTTATAGGATGTAGAAAATCTCAATGAAGATGCAAATTATGTTCCTGCAATTGCAATTGTTGGCCGGCCAAATGTTGGCAAAAGTAGCATTTTGAATGCTTTGGTTGGAGAGGATAGAACGATTGTTAGTCCTATCAGTGGTACTACACGTGATGCTATTGATACTGAGTTTGCAGGACCTGATGGCCAGGTATGACTCGAGTTTTTACTACCAATTTTTCATGTTAGTTGACTATCAGTTCTACCGCATTGTTTATTGATGTAAGAAGAATTCATTGAGTTCGATTAACTGCGAGCTTCATTTGCATATTATATGTGGACTTTTAGACCCAGTAAGGACTATTCTCTCTGCACGCCATGTGTATGCATGTTTCCATAAAATCACATTCACAGTTTTTTCTAAATCAGTGTTCATTAAAAATTGTATTTATATATTCATCTATAAACTAAAAAAATTTTTTTTTGGGGGTCCCAGAAGTTCCGGCTTATTGATACTGCTGGTATTAGAAGAAGGGCAGCCATAGCCTCATCTGGTAGTACCACAGAGGCTTTGTCAGTGAACCGAGCATTTCGTGCCATTCGTCGTTCTGATGTTGTTGCTCTTGTCATTGAGGCCTTGGCTTGTATCACAGAACAGGTACTTCATCTGCGGCTATTCTGGAGTCATCATATTTATGGTGTTTTTAACATTTGGCTTCTGAAACTTGCAGTCAATGCACTTTTAAGTAGGGTGGGAGAGGGCTGGAGAGAGAGATTGAGAAATTGCTTTTGCCTTCCTAATTACTTTACTTTTCCCCCATAACATGACGTGGGCATATAAAGAATGTGAATAGTCAAAAGGGAATTATGAAAGACCACCAAAAAGTGGAGAAGATTTATATGTTGCTGGAGTTCTATGATTTTTTTGATTCCTGCAAACTTAGACTGCTCATAAAATATGTGCCACCTTTACTTATAACATCTCCAGTACGGATCCTGACTGATCCACAGGAATCAGTGCCCATGTCCTTCATATACCTGGCAATTACTGTGATAAAACTCTCCTAGGTGGCCCCAAGTTCTTGGCAGTGGAATTTTAAGCCTACATAGGTGTTTCATGAGACACCAAAACCCAGACTATCTGGAGGGCCACTCCGCACAAAAAACTTAAAGACTCTTACAGTTTTTACCTTGTTAATTGATTGAAATTATTTAATAGATTGAAAGTTAAACTTATTTGAATTATTCAGTAAAGTGCATGTTCCTGATAACATAAACACAAGATTTGAGCAGATGTGTTGGCATGTCATTAAAGATTAAGGCTGATGCCTATTCCCTTATAGGATGAGGTTGTGAAATAGGAACTCTATTATATGTAGGGTGGGGTATTACCTCACGCTGTAGGCTAATTAGGGGCTTTTATATGAATATGAAATAAGATTGTTTCATTGATAGATCTTAAATATAGCGTTGGTATGTTTTTGGCCCATTAATCAAATTTTTAACTGGTTCTTTTCTTTTCTTTGGTTACCTCTTTTAATTATGTTTTATGTTTTTGGTCCCGGTTTTCCTAGGATTGCAGGATTGCTGAAAGGATTGAAAAAGAAGGAAAGGGTTGTCTGATTGTTGTAAACAAATGGGACACCATACCAAATAAAAACCAGCAGAGTGCAACATACTATGAGCAAGATGTTAGAGAAAAGCTTCGTGCTCTTGATTGGGCGCCTATTGTTTATTCAACTGCAGTAGCTGGTCATAGTGTTGATAAGTATGTTCTGGACCTAATGGTGTCATTTTCTTTACTGTTCTAAATGATACCTGACAGTTAATGCCAATCAGTTTTTCTTATTTATATTGTAACCCTGAAATCTACATAATAATTGGAAAAAAGATTCTTTCTTTTCTCGGTACTCCTAAAGTAGACACTAACAGAAAAATCATCTGTTGGCTTGATGAAAACACTTTTTGATCCGTTTACATGAACTTATGCTCATTGTGTTTTTTTTGATTCCTTTTTGCCTTCCTCTTAAAAGGAAAGAAAGTCCAATTCTATAGAAATAAATTTTGATTGTATAATCACTGTTACATTGAAATAAAAGGGAGAACAAGTTTTAGCTGTTGTTTTTGGTCAGAATCATTGTTGCTGCCAGCACGGTTGAAAAGGAGAGATCAAGAAGGCTAAGTACTGCGACATTAAATCAAGTGATACAGGAAGCACTAGCTTTTAAGTCACCTCCTAGGACCCGAGGTGGCAAGAGAGGACGTATATATTACTGCACTCAGGTAGAATCTCATACAAGACTGCAATTGATTATATTGTCTCTACGTGATAATTTTTCGCTGTCTTAAAAAATTCAGGCTTTACCCAGAAAAAATCTTGTTCTTTTTTAAAGTTTTACTAATGAGAGGTGTGTTTTTCATTATGTGAAGAGCCAAAATAGCTTTCTTTTTACTTATATATTGTTACTCGCTTAACTCATCGGCATATTCTTTTCTGCTACATTTCTCAATTTTGTTTTCAGCATTTTAGTATGGCCTTGGTGACACTCAGTACTGAATGTGATTCCCTATTGCAGGCTGCTATCAGACCACCAACATTTGTTTTCTTCGTAAATGACGCAAAACTATTCTCCGAGACTTACCGGCGTTACATGGAAAAGCAACTTCGAAAAGATGCAGGATTTTCTGGTACACCAATTCGACTTCTTTGGCGGAGCAGAAGAAAAATGGAAAAAAATGAAGGTAAGTACAAGCCTTTCCCCCTTTCATTGTTGGAAATGAATTCAGTAACTTCCTTAATGACGTGCTAGCATAAAATCCATGCATATAAGTTGAACCCTTGTTTCATTCAACTCTTTCGATGATATGGTTTTCCTGGACCGATATTCAGGTAGGGCTGCATCAAAAACATGAGCAAATCTTGCACCACGTGATGGAAAATTGACATTAACAACATGATCCTAAACAAGATTTTATCGTCCCAAAATTGAATTCGACTTTGTGTTAGAAGAGTTTGTAGTTCTTTGAAGGTTCATGCAAGTTTAGTTGAACAGGTTAATTAGTTTTGTCATCTCTTCTTGGTTGGAAAGTTTTATAGTTTTTATTTTATTTTATTTTATTTTTTATTTGTGTATTAGTGTATAGTATGTAGTTGTGACTATGAATATTTCGAGAGCTTGTAATGTGTAACATCTAATGCTGAAATTAATTTATTTTTTTTAAAATATCTGGAAATCTCGTGAAGTTTCTCATGTATATCATAACATCCTGACTAGAGTTTAGTTTATATATAGAGAGTAATTCTCTAATCATGACGTTTTGATATGGGGTTATGTTTAAACACATTCAGATTCATCTTATCTTATTGGGTTGAATTTTGATATATTGTTGATAAATCAAATGGTATTTAAACGTGGTCTTGACATCATGATATTAATTTTGTTAGAACTGAACTTAAAAAATTAAATATCATTGGATTCATCCGTATGGTATATGTTGTACAATATTTAATTAAAGTAAAAATTAAGTCTCTGTTTCTTTCATTTTTCGTAATCCCATCCCATCCAATCCTACTCAAAATGAATGTTTGTTTCAATATTTTTAAAATCTAATCTTATTCTATCAAACTCAAAATATTTAGATTTTTTTAACCCCTAAAGTTTGTTAATTTAACTAAACACTTCCAACAATAAAAGTTTATAAATTGACAAAAAACATCTCTATCCACCTACATATTCTCAATAGTCGGTCACTACCGTCAGAAGGTGGTATGAATATGCCGGAATGGTGTATGACTGGCTAGATGTGGTGGTCGTGTGCCAATTTGGCATTTTTTGGCCAAATCCACTATGGATATGGTCAGAAAATGTTAGATCTACGGTCAAAGATCTAGTGTTGACAGCCAGACCATATCTGATTGTTGACGACTAGATGTGGCCAGATTAACGCACGACCGGCCAGATCTAGCCGGTCGTGTGCCATTCTAGTAACTTCCGACCATCCTCCAACAGTGGTGGCCGACCGTCAGCATTTAATGGGTGGGTGAGAGTGTTTTTGTTAATTTTTAATGTTTTATTGTAGGGGTTGTTTATCTATATTAACAAATGTAGGGGATTAAAAATAATCTAAATATTTTTAAAAATGTTTTCCAAAATTTTACCAAACACATTTTCAAATTCAAATCCTATTTTTTGTAATAACAATCCAATTCAATTTTTTCAAAAATATTACTCTAAATACTATATCAAACATAAATTTGAGAGGATTATTTTAGAGTAGATCATCTACAACATAATAATAAACAAATAGTTTTTTCCTCGATACTTGAATTGAGAATTATTGGAACTGGCCAAATTTTTAGGGTATTATTTATTAATGTGTAACATTAATTGGTCGATCTTGTCCTGAAGCAATAAGGGACATCAAGATTATTACAATATTACTTGTAAAAAATAATAATAATAGTAGTAACAGACTACAAATGTATCAATGAAGCGTCTAACTCCAAATGTACTATTTTGAGTACCAATGTGATAATGTTGTCTTTGGGATTGGAAGTACCAATGCATTAATGTTGTCTTTGGGATTGGAAGTACCAATGTATTAATGTTGTCTTTGGGATTGGGTTACTGGATTGGATATAGAAGGGATTGTGTTACTGGACTGGATATAGAACGAGTAATGCAACAATTATCGAATGATACGTATTGAATTCGTGTACCGAATGATCTGACGTAATTCTAACCATCGATTAATTATGAATTAATATTAATCGACGGTCAGGATTACGCCACATCATTCGGTGCACGAATTCGGTGCGCATCCTTCGATAACTGTATTGTTTTTCGGATAGAACAGGATGATGGTACAATATAATTTTTTTCTTAGTCAGGTGGGTCGAGAAGTCATATTTTCAGTACGTCTTTCTGCACAATGGACTAAAATGTTATTAAACAATGGGTAATACTATGGTCACAACTCTTTTTCACAAACGTAACGTGATAACTCGTAATTAGTCAGCTCGCAATAGATCCTGCCTACCTAACAATAAGTCTCATCTAACCAATTATAAGCTGTCATATCACATTTATAAAAAAAAATGAGAAAGGTTTGTCAACTTATCTTTGTTATTAAATAATTCTACTAAACAATAGTTAGTTAACTCATTCCTCATGTGGAAACGAGGTATTATTATAACCTCATGATGTATAATTAAAGAACAAAAATTCTCCTATAGTTATGAAAAAAATAGAAATCTTCATACCGTTCATTTTTCAATGTTAAAATAAACGAATGGTAGAAAGACAATTCGGTAAACATTCATCAATTCATTATACTATAAATTCTATAACAGTACACTAACAACTCACTAATGACAATTTTTTTTTTTTTTGCTATTTCTAAGTTATGAGGGAACTTTTATTCTTTGATTAGATCTTAGGGATCGAGAAAACCCGTAGCTATTCAAAATTCTTATATAATCAATAATTAAATTAAAAATATTAAAGAATACGTATTTTATAAATGAGTTAATATATTTTAATATCTAACTAAAAATTAAAGAATAAATATAAATTAAATTAAAATTATTATACTAATAGCTGTTTAAACAACTCTTTTTAAACTAATTCACTCTTATATAAATTTATATGTATTCCTAAAAATATTTTAGTTTAGATAAATGTAACACTCATACTCTTAAAATATCTCATGTATTCTTCTCTAAATAATTCTCGTAACAAGTTATTTATCTTAATGGAATAGCGAAAATAACCCATGAAGTTTGAACAACCCTTCTCGGTTCTCACATCCTGTATCCCGTGCAACCACTTTTACTCGCATAATTTGAACTTAATTTTCTATAAAAATGTGTTTCAATTTAAATAAAGAAATGGTCCTAGTCTTACTCTCACTCTATCGATTGCATGGTGTTGTATTCCTCTTTCTTCTTAATTGCTAAAAAAAAAACAATTGAGAAAATAGAGGGTTTGATGTGATATTAAACTGCTTGCAGATGATTAATCAAATCTTATCCATCATCTTAAATGCATTTAGGTATTTGTCAATTTAGTCTTCATTTAAATCATGTGAATTTGGTTAGGTTAACTCTCTATATTAAATCATTATAATAAACATTCACCATTGAATCAACGACATTTTCAAATTTTGACTCTCTTAAATTGGATTAAATATCTCTCACATATGTCATCTTTTGATTATTGGACTATCGATGAAAACGATACTTAAACAATTTTATTAAAATACAAGTTCTATGAATTTAATTTTTAATAGTTGAACATTTACTAGCCTAAATTTCAGTTGAAAAAAAAAAAAAAAAAAAAAAAGTGTAGGACCTTGGTTGGTAGTTTGTCAATCCTAGAATTTATAATGTTTCGAATTAGTAATTATTTCTCTAAATTTATTTTTGCTTTTGGAAAAGTCGTTTGTGCATCAAGTTAAAATATAACTAATTAATGAAAGTATATCATATCAACGTGAGTGGAATATTAATATACTTAATTTTTTAATTTTTAATTTTTTTTTATTGGTAGGCATCATTTAATTTCACGTAACACAGTAAAAATCGTTTGTTCGCATTCACTGATAGTGGTGGAACTAGAAAATTACTTCGTAGGGTTAAAATGTAACGTTTAACTAACAACAGTGACCAAACAAAAATATATTTAGAAAATTTCATTCATGGTTATGGGTGTCAAAGTTTAAAGTTTAACTAATAAATGGACTATAGGAAAATAATGAAATTTAAAGGATGAAACAACATTGCTATATATATAATTTATATTGGGGAGGTCCTTGACTGTTTATTGAGCAATATTTATCCAGAAATTAAGTTTTAAATTTACATTTGAATTATTTTTTATCACATCAATCTATATATGTACATAAGTTTGTATAAGAAATTTTTGTGCTAACATCAAACAAATCCAATGGATATTAAAATAAACGAACGAGCGTATATACAAAATTTAACTCAATAAATGATGAAGAATAAAATAAAAATTTACAATTAAGCCCTTCACTTTAATTTGAGGAGGGTGTTAAATGCAAGGTTTTTATAATTAAATGTAGGCCAAAACCCACCTTATGAGAAGCATGGGAGTTAGATATAAGCCACTTTCTCATAGGGGTATTTTCAATTTAATGCAATTTTTGTGGTCAATTCCAACGCCCACACTTTTATATTTCTCGATATGTTAACTTCTCAAATTTATAGCACCCACTACCAAATTTAATGCTCACCCAATAACAATTTACGAATTTATTTTGAGTTATTTTAGTCTTAATTAGATAAAAGAAAAATCTTATTGATGATTCCCAAAAACAAATATTTTTGTCGATTGGTGAACGTTCGGTAAGTCGTTAAAACTCACACCATTATAAGTTAATGAATGTTTATCTAACTGCTTTCTTTCTGTTTATATTAATATCTAAAGTAGGAGAACTTTTGTTATTTCATAAATTTTAGGAGGATCTTTACTGTTGTTAACCTTTTTATTTTATTTTTATTTTTAATAAGACGAGATTAATAGAATATCTTATCAAATTAGTTGGCACATAAATTGATATCTAAATTGATTTGACAATATTCTATTATTTAATATAAGGAGATTTGTAAAATGTCTTGTTAAATTAGTTATTAAAATTACAAATAATTTATACTAATACTTGGCTAAATGAAGCCCTACTTCATACTCTACGAAAGCAAATATCAACCAACTATTTATTATTTGATGTGAAATGTCTTTAATCTAAGAACAGTTGTTTAATATATGGTCTCACAATATTGCATTATTATGAAATTAATGAAATAACATAAGTTCCGGATGGTTCCTCCAACTTGGAATATTGAATATCCATTATTTATTTCAAATAATAATAATAAAGAAGTTGGAAATTAATAATTAATAAAAAATTAAACTTAGTTAATTGAAACTAATTTTTATTAAACTTTTATAATGTATGTTTAGAGTTTTTGGTAAGTTCTTTTTAGTTTATGATATATATCATTTCAAGGTTAAATTCAAAAGATTTGGTCCGCGACACAGTGTAGAGGCATAATCTAGTTGTGCATAGTCGTTGAAGGTTGGATTTGGCTTCGGTGGCGCTTCTAGACACTGAATTGGCCTTCAATCTAGATCTGATAAGGGTTCAACGGCGAGTAAAATGGGATAGAAAATTAAAATAAAAAA